GTGTTCAGGAAGGGAGGATTTGAAATTATGGATACGGTTAGATACAAATTTTCATGAGAAAATGTCACGATATTTAATATCCTTCGAATTAATGACGACTTAAATTTATTTAGGAGGAAATGGCGAAACGCAAAGCCCTTTGGAAGGTGAACAGTAAACTTAAAGGTAATGTCATTATAATAGTAAACTACTAATAATGATTCGAGTGGTAAACCCGCTAAGTTCGTTTCTTTAACTACGTTTATTATTAACGCCTTTCCAGACCTTGATCAAATACTCGACGGTTTAAGTTCCATCAAGAGAGGAAGCTAAGTCGGACTTTTATTTGTCTTTGGATCCGACGCGTTTCCAATACTCGCAGGATAAGCTGGATCAGAATTTTCTCCAGTTGCTGCGGCGTCTCGGTACGGTTTCTATAGGAATCACGGGGGCAATTGAGACACCCCACTTTTTTCTGGGTAAGACAAGACTGTCTTACGGCACTAAAACGGTCATTAAAGATGCAGGTGCTGAGGCCAAACTCGTAATCAGGGACGCGTTTAGAACACCCAAAAAGGAAATTCTTACAGCTGTTGATTCTGCAAAAGATGTACTCAGACAGAGCACTGCTACGATTGACGCCGCCGTGAAGAAAAAAATCACAGCGAAGAAAGATGCCGATAAGGTGGCGAAAGACAAAAAGAAAGCCATTAAAAAAACCGCAACTTCCCAAAAAGTTGACGCAGCTAGGAAAGCAGCTGATGAGGCGGCGTTAGAGGCAAAACGAACCGCGGTAAATGACTTAAGCTCCACTTTGAGAAATATCACTGCCACGTCGGACTCTGGCTTGAACACCTCTTGAGAAGAAATTAATCAGTTTCTTGCTATATCTTAACGCTATGTCGTAACTTTCACTAGTTACGACAGCTGCTACGAAAAAAGCTTCCGAATTGATTCAATCCGGTGTAAGAGCGGCAATTTCGAGTGGAAATTTAACCCCCACCGATACCAAAACTTTGGCGATGTCAACAGTCAAAAACTTGATCCATTTGAACGAAATTGATTTAAATGATTTCCTAGAAAACGCTACAAACGATTTTAACAGGTCCATGGAAATAGTTCCGAATGCTGCCAGTATCGCAGTGAACGTAAGTCGACCTATTCATACAGGATTAACGATTTCTGCCGACGCTGTAGAAGCTCAAAAGATGGGCATCGACACAATAAAGAAAATTTCTGCCAAATTTAACCACACGATTGCTGAAATGCAAGTCCAGTACGATAATTTGCCAAAGATGTGAACAAAAAAGTCCAAGCGGAATGGGGCAAAGTGACGCAAGAAATTCTTACAATGCCGCAGAAAGCTTGGAATGAAACGGACGCTCATTCACAATAAAATACTTTAAAAAAGCTTGCTTAGTTGAGGCGCTGTTAAAAGTGAAAAACAAGTCACCAGCATTATCATAAATATACTAAATGCATGCATTTGTGGTGCTTCCATCCTGTTGTATGAGTTGGGTGGTTTGCATCAACGCAAGGCCAAAAATTTTGAACGTTTTATATACAAATTACCAATTTATTATGCAGACACGAGAACAATAAACTAAAACTGTAGGGCACAAGAGTAAATAATTATTAATCTAAACAATGACACTTTCAAATGGCGTATAGACTTGACAAGAGTTTTGGAACATGTATACTATCACAGTACCGATAACAATGATGACAATTTCACGAAATAATTATTGATGTGAGAGACTGCTGAAAGAAGGAGAGGTGAACTGCAACCAGAAAAATGCCTAGGATCCCGTTCAGATTCCAAATCCTGAAGAAAAATTTGCGTGTCCTTGCACTAATACCCTTTAAATTTAAAACAATTAAGATTGTTAATTGATTTACGCATTCATAGTATAATAATAAATTTAGTTGTGTGCATGCATACAGAGTTGAGAGGCCTAGTAGAAATCCTGCCATTAAACCAAGCATGGTGATTGATGAGCTTATAAAAAGAACTTTCTCCAATGAGACAACGTGACGCTCGCCAACCTCCTCGTAAGAGAACAAAGCCACAGCCAATAGCACAATATACGCTAACTGGTAGCAGTGCCATCCCTGAGATTAGTAATAGAAATATTATGCTCATTTTAAAATATAATTACTTTACATACCACAGTGAACATTGCCAGGACCAAGGTAGACGATCTCCAGGTGCACATTGTGTATATTTTTGTCTAGTAAACACGCTATACTGGTTACGAAGATGATTAGTAATCCTCCAATCCTAAGATGTGTATATGTAATTCTGTATTTCATTTTCGTAATCATTCATATTCGTAACAGAAAAAATACGTACACAATCTTTTCAAAATGCTCCCAGAACCACTCCCACCACGTTTGTTGAATTTTAACAATATCCTCCCCATGATTTACGTCAGGCATCGTGATGACCTTTATTGTTTTGATAATCGATGAAGCCTCTTTTGTTGCGTTAGCAAGTAATCCATCAGTGACGTTGTCCAGAAATCGCACGGTGGACGAGATAGAAATATTTGCAAGTAACTCTTCTACTTGTAAATCGTCCTTCTTAGAAGATATCTCAGTCGGAGGAATTACGATTATCTCCTGCCAATTTTTGGCCAGTGGTGTGACGGTGGTCTGGTAATCTCCGGATCAACTGGTTTTGTTAACTGCAAATTTCAAGAGGGGATGGTGCGAAGATGCAATTTCCCATAGTGTGGGATGCAAACTGTCACCATCTTTGATGGCTGGCATTGTAATAAATGAAAATGTCAATTCCTCAATGCATAGGAAATGAAATACAAAACTCGAAAAATGTAGCATTTTATGTATTGCACAATTCTTGTGAGCACAGATAGCAAGAATATAACGAGGAAAGGAGTTCGGATATAGTTGTTGATGCAAACTCTTTTCCAGGAAATGTATATTGCAAACAAAGACTCGTTACTGTGAAAATAGTAGTGCAAAATTTTGGCCTTGCGGTGATGCAAACCACCCAACTCATACAACAGGATGGAAGCACCACATATGCATGCATTTAGTATATTTATGATAATGCTGGTGGCTTGTTTTTCACTTTTAACAGCGCCTCAACTAAGCAAGCTGTTTTAAAGCATTTTATTTCATGGGTTTCAAGCGATATACTTTTACATTAATGCGTATCATTCGTGTTACTGTACATTAATTCATTATGTAAAGCATGATCAGTACAATAAAATTAGTCATAATAATATCGCCCGGCTTATACTTTCGCCGTTCGCCACTCAATAAAATTCGTGGGCTGATGGCCATCCCAACCATTCTATTGGACGACGAACGGCGAAAATATAAACCGGGCATAAGTACGAATTCCAGCCATTAATAGTAACTGAAACGTAACGTGTTTAGGTCAGGATAAATGTCATTGCGTTCAATATTAGTATCCAAGTTTATATTTAAGTTTGTTGTTGCTCTAATCACTCTGAGAATGCTTTCACTCTCTCCTGGTAAGCCAAAACACGATACAAAATACTTCACAAATAATAATAATAAAGAGATCGGTTCAAAACTGAAAGACTTTTGATGGAGGCATCTGATACCATAATACTTTATAATATCTACACTATACTGGTTGCCATTAGCAACCAATATTATTAGTATTATGGAAATAAAAGTTCTAATTATGCTGGTGAGGTGTGCAATAATGTTTACAAAAGAAGAAAGCCCATTAAAAGTGCATCGTTCATAAATTACGGCATCTGTAAATATGCGTTCTTATGATTTATTAATCGCTAGTTACTATTATACACTAATCCCCATTCAATCATACTTTCATACTTTCTGTTCTTCTCTTTAATATTATTCAAGATTTCTTTCTTGAATCGTTCAGAAAGGAGCTGCAATACGTCTTCTTCTCTGGACGGAATTATAGGTAGATCGTCCTCAACGTGGGCGGGGATGGTTGTGCGTTTTCCAGCATTTGCGGCATAATGCTTTTGCTTGTAATCGCGTAATTTCTTCTGTTTTCCCCTTGTAATATTCTTGGGCAGCGTAAAATTATTGTGAGTGTTGTCCAGTGACTCAACCTGTAATGCAGATTTTACCAAAAGCTCATATTCACTTAGAGGCCGTACATAAAGTGTGTGATCGATTTTCGAAGAGTTCTGACCAACAAGGTCAACTCCAATAAGGCGGAATTGCGTGTTATGGAGAATGAAGTGATTAAGAAAGAACTTGAACACAAGAAGTTAGTGTCAACTTCGAATTGTAAAATCAATAAGAAGGAGAACGAAAAGCTATGGCTACAAAAGAAGTACGCCACCGCTATCTCCAAGATTGATCTCGAAGAAGAACAGCTTCTAAGTTCTGACGAGGAAGCCGAATATAACAATGCGGTTGTCAAGTTTAATAATTGGAAGAAAACCGAAGAGGACTTCAAGTCTCAAGGGCGAAGCTGCTGAAGCCGTTCAGTCGATGATGGTTAGTCCAGATAACCTACAGAAGATAATCAAGACACTACAAGTGAGATTTGGTCAAGCGAAGCGCATTATTGAAGCTCTGGTTGCACGGGTCCGAGGTTTTCCATCAGTGAGAGCAGACGACCTGAAGTCCATAATTGAGTTTGGGACTTCAGTGCAGAACTTAACATCCACGATCAAGACCCTTAACAAGAGAGAATATTTAAATGACCCAAGCTTGCTGAGCGAATTGGAAGAAAAACTTTCCGTGCAACATAAACTTCAGTGGGGTGAATGGGTCCGATCGGATTCCACCAGGGAGGAAAATTTGGATTATTTCACAACCTGGATTGAAGGTCATGTGGAAATAGCTTGTGCCGTTTACCGCCCAGCCTTCAAAGACAGCAAAGAAGAGAAAGGAAAGTTCTACGAATACAAGAATGAAGGAAGATGGAACAAGAGAGGACAAGGTCAAGAAAGTGCAACATTTGTGAAAAGGAGAACCACGTCACAAGTCAATGTCGGATTCTCCTTGCTTTGGATGCAGATCACCGGAAGCAAGTAATCATGGATAAGGGACTCTGCCTTTCTTGTCTGCAGCCTGGATGCATCATCTCGGACTGCAGGAAGAAAGTAAGGTGTGACCTCGACGGGTGCAAGTATTATCACCACCGCTTGGTTCATGGAACCACCAAGCCATTTCAACTAGTTTACCAGCAAACCAGACAACAAGAAGAAAACCCTGACGAAGATGCCCCAGCAGAGACGCAGATCAATTCGCTACTCTCTGGGAGACTTATGAATGTCGGCGTTCAAGTCATGGGTCCGAGTGGGAAGGAAGTTATCTTAGCTCTTCAAGACAATGGATCTGAAGCGACACTTTTAGAAGAAAAAGTGCGCAAGTCTATTGGAGCCAAAGGACTCACAATCCCGTTTTGCATGACCACACCTGCAGGAAAGTCAAGTCAAGAAGATTCGCAGAGTGTGAGCCTCTGCATTCGAGGTTTGAAAAGTTCAAAGTTTGACAAAATCAACAATGTGCGAACATTAAATGAAGTAAACTTGTCAAGAGTTTCGCTGGACGTAGAAGATCTGAAGGCAAAATACCCGCATTTGCGAAGTGTTCCTCTTCGTTCATTCAGAAATGAGAAACCGCAGATGTTAATTGGCAGCTCCCACTATCACCTTTTAAATCCAATCAAGACGATTGAGGGAAAACCTGGAGAGCCAGTCGCCATAAAAACCAGATTAGGATGGACTGTCGTCATTCCTGACTTGAATGGAATTGGGAGGAATGATATTCGTATAAATCATCAAGAAGCTCAAGTTCACCATTTCCAAGTTCATAAAGTACGTGAATCAAGTCCGGAAAAAGAAGCGACACAAGTTAAGCAAAGTTTCACGGCTGAGAAATTAAGTGTGAAACCATTTTCAAGCAAGCCAAAACCAGAAGAAAGTAAGAAAGCCGGGGTCTGTCGCGTCTCCATCAAACCGGAGGTCCGCCACTCCCAACGATTCCTATGGCGTAGGATGGAGCGTGATCTGGAACCTGAAGTCAACAATAACGAAGAAAAGACCAAGCAAGAAATTCAGGAAATCCGACCGAGGGGAAGACCGAAAGAAATTCAAGAACAAGAAAAAGAACCCGAAGTCAAGGAAGAGGCTGAAAAGTTAATGGAGCCAGTTGCGAAACAACACGCCCCAAAAATCAGCAACTCAAGTCCCCAAATCAGTGTCAAGATGATCAAGACAAGAAAAGAAGAGCAGAAATCAAGTCGCCAAGAACAGCCTGAAAGGTTTGCTGTTGTGGTCTGGTTACCAGACGGGAGGAAGAGACCCCGGAAATCAAGACGAAGAATTAAAAAGATCCACCAGTACACCGGAAACCGGAAAGAAGAACGAGCGAAAGACGCGAAGACAACTGGAGTGCACCGACGCCCAGCTCTCAAGATCGCCGCTTTGGACCAGAAACAAGAAGATGAGCCTCCGTCGCCTGAATCGTCGACTACATTCATCGGGGGGAAGAATGTCGCGGCGAGGCATAAGCTTAATAATGGTTAATTTATGCGTAAAAGTCCCTGTAGTTTTTATAAGATTATTTGGTTAAGAATTAAGCATAAGTGTCACGGCGAGGCATAGGTTTAATAATGAATAATTTTACATATAAATTTCATGCAATTTTAGATGATAATTTGGTCAAGTATTAAGTATAAAGTATGAATGTCAGTGTGCAATTTCCCCATGACGAGGTGGCAGTTGCCATGGTGATGTGAGTTTGAGTGGGAGAGGGGACGCGTTTCCTTTGTCAGCGAACGAGTGAGTGTGCAAGTGTGAGTGTGAGTGCGTATTAAGTAGCAAGTAAGTAAGTAGGGAGTCGAGCAAGTAAGAAGCTCAGTTTTTTGTAGTCGTCAAATATTCGAATAAATACTAAAAAATTAATTAAATGAAGTGTTTAATTCACGTGTTTTTTAGTTATTCATTTGCGTCTACCTTACTTCAAGCTGGATAAAGCATTTTTGGCACGATTTAAGTAGTTTTGGCAAGATTTAGGCCAGCTTTAGTCAAGTCCAAGTCCAGTTTAAGCATAAGTCCAGTATAAAGTCCAATAAGTCTACGCATAAGTCCAGTATAAAGTCCAATAAGTCTACGCATAAGTCCAATATAAAGTCCAATAAGTCTACGCACAAGTCCAGTATAAAGTCCAAGTCAAGTCTACGCATAAGTTCATTACGGCACGAGGTCAGATCACCAGAAAATAGTTATCACGAGAAGATAATTCTGAAGTTGATAAGCCCCGGCCGTAACAAGTTGGTTTGGCACACTTGCGAAGTTGCACTCCGCAAGGGAGTTGCAAGTGAGACTCAGGAACGACAGGTCGTGAGTGTCCCTTATAAGTGTGTAAAATTTACCCCGACGAAGGCAAAATTTAATTAAGGTTGAGCAGAAATCCTTCAAAGTGAGATCAATTGTTTAGTCCCATTGTGTAAATTATGCACAATTAATCGTCTTACAACTTTTAAGTTACAAGGGACACTATTGAAGTGGGCGTCGTGTCCAGGGTACCCACGATGTTTTATTTAGAATCTACTAGGAATAACCTACTAAGGATCTACTACTGTGGTTGAATTTTTAAGTGGAGAAACCATTTTTTGAAAACTTGTGAACCATCCTCTCTCCTCAGTGACCTCGGTTGGCGATGATGTGATCTAACATTTACGATTAATTGAGCCTGACCTGTAAGCTGAGAAATTGATTGTAATTTTACGCTCACCTGAACCCGAACGAGGTCACTGAGACATGATAAAGTTTTCAAACATTAGTTTCTTCTTTTAAAAATTCAATCATAGATGAAGGACCCATTCGTACTTCCGTGTACAACTCATATCTGGCGCCGTGGCGTGAAATTTCTATGGGGGTTTCAAAATTTTGGGCTTAAAATGATCACAAAGCTCAAAATTATTTTTAAAAAAATAAATAAAAAATTTTTATTTTTCAAGACATTTGGAAGATTTAGTAGACGAATCCAATGGCTCAAAATTTTCCAAGAAAATTAAACAATCAATTTTTTAAATTGTCATGATCTTGACCAAAAATTGTGTCTAATTGATTTTTTATTATTTGGTTTAAGAGGATCTGTGACAAACATGTCTGCTATTGTGAGATGAGGGTTATGTCGGGTAGCATTCAGCCGATTTAGTGCCGCAGAAAATAGTATTTCTGAAACAGCATCTTTTCCGTCAGAATAGTCGACCCAATGCTGCTCTAATTCTGTCGGAGGGGTGAATAAACTTGTAAAATCATTGGGCAAAGTCGTAGTGCAGGCGAAATGTCGTAGAATCGGGATACTTTTTTGGTAACAGGTTGCCACCCTGTTTTCCGGGAGAAATAAGAACACCGCTAATTTGACCCTTAGCCAGGAGTGGGGCCAGTAGGGTTGTCTGCAGAGGGCAGAACTGTGGAATTCTAATATTCTGTAGTTACTTGGAATAAAGATGAAATGCGAAAAATTTGGATTAATTGGATCGACATTACGGATTTCCTTGTTTAGTATCAAATAGTACTTGGTTTGAGTATGAATCCAATTTCCTAACGATTTTGCGTCCGAGTTTGTGAAATGTGGGGAACGTAGAGACACAAATAAGATGACGGTTTCGCAAAGCCAGCCTTTATTTTGATAGACATCAAGTTTTAAGGGGGTGTGGTCGGATTGTGTAAAACTGCGTTTCGTCAGTGTCACTGGGATGGTTCGGGTAGTCGTCAAGTTTGAGGTGGAGATATCGTTGGAAATGAGGTGATACCGACAAGGGGTGTGGTTAGATAGGAGTGACACCAAATTTATTGGTATGTTAGGGTCGGCAAAGATAAAATTTACAGAGTAGCACAATACGACGAAGATGCGATTTAAATCCGGCATAGTGCAAGAATTTTGGTAGGAAGATTTGAAAATATAAGGGTAAAATAGTTAGTTATCCACACTCAAAAAAAAATCGGACGAAACGAATTCCGGGCGGTGTCACTATATGACTTAACCGAATTGGATATAAATCGGCGCGGATATAATTTCTTCACGCAGCGGAGTCATTTAATAGAATTAAGGTAACAAAATCTTCACCGTCTTTGGCAGGATTATTTCCGCGCTCGTTATTCGTTAGCACTGGAGCACGGTTGTTATGTTTTGTGGATTTTTTCTTAGAGTGTAGGATTGGAAGACACTTTGCAAAGAAAGTTGTAAAATCTGATATTTATTGACCTTAATGGTTAAATTGTCATTTTTATCTGATAGCATTTAAAAAGTGGGAATGCTTAAGATAAAAAGGCGACGAAAGGTTATACCTTCCGAACAGTATTGGCAAATTTTGCCTATCACCAAAGGAATAAGTTGGGTAATGCATCGTCTGTCGTGTCGGACTTGACTCTGTAAAATAAATGCCCAAGGGCACTAAATTTTCAAAGGCCAATTGGCATTGTAATTATTTTGAAGACAAGAAAGTCCTAAAATTCTTCTAGGTTAGCAAAAACAAGATTGCATGTGAATACATATTCTGATCAGTTAAATGGCATCAAAGTGGAATTTTACAGAAATATATAAAGCTTGGTCAGGTCTGCATAAAGCTTAGCGTGTTATAAAATATAAAAAGCTCGTGTTCCCTGAATTATTTATTGAAAGTCCGACCGGTGGACGAAGACTATAGGCAACAAGACTGCATTGGAAAATAAGGCTGGTGAAGTAGAAGACAAATAGGTATGGATACTTGCATACAGGGTTTCCCGGGACTCTGGACAGCCTCTGGTTTACAATACATTCTGAAGCAACTTTTGAAATTCGCTGGTGGTGATTTCTTCTTATAAAAAATCGAAAAATAAGACATTTGTCTTTCTCCTCATGACTTTCCTCCAGATTGATGCGGAAATCATTGCTCTCTACATGGTGATGTCCTCCTCCGCAAATATTTCATTCCTGGCAACATTGTTCTTTGCCTTTTTAGGACTTGAAATGATTATCATTATTCACATCGTGTTTCATATGCTTCGTCTCCCGTGCCTAGAATCTGAGAATTTCTGTGAAATCACACCTGGCGGATTAAGGTAGCCATGGGCTGAGAAATTTTTCCTCTCATTGAAACCTGTCGTTGTTGAGGTGGGTGATGGGTCGTTTTTGATGAAAAGTCTTAGCTATGTGGGACTTTTGCATAGATAAATTAATTAGTTTGTTAATTGCTTATTGATCCAAATGCATATTAAATTAGTACATATCTTACTGGCAGCTGTAATTAATATTAACAATATAAATATGTAGTTCCTTCACTCTATCTAATTGTTCACCGGATTTCAGCCTACGTGAATTGTTAACTCGTTAAAAGACTTTCCATAATATTTTAACACATTGTTGATTTTGTGCTAAAACTAATTCAAGTCAATTTGAGGTTTCGATCGAGGAAATTTACTTTGATATATTTACATATATGTAGCATAAGTACGAATTCAAAATCAATTTGATGATTATGGCATCCAGTACCCCAATCATAAGTATTTTTGCTCGATTCGGACAAACGATTGATAAAAATTAGGGTTTTAAAAAATTATATTAAGGATCGCGAAATTTTATTAATTTGTGGTTTTACTGAAAATATTAAAAATTCGGGACGGGATAGGCTGGGATGGAATGATGCTTCTCCGGACCCGAAACCCATCCCGTCCCGTGTTATCCAAAATTAAATAATTTGAATACATGGGCATACTTACAATGCGATGGTGTGAAGTGCAACTCTCAGATTTGGCTGAAATTTTTTAATTATGCAGTCCAAGTCAATACAACCAACGTTTCTTGAGGCAGTTTGTGCAATGGTTGGGATTTGTCAAAATGTTTGAGGTCAAAGTTGAAAAATGGGCGATTTTTACCAAGCGGAGGAAGAAAACTCAACTCCATTCTCTTCCGCTCGCATTAATTTTACTCGGGTTTCTCACTCCCACAAAAACCTTCATACACAAACATAAGCAGTGATGCGAAATAACCAAAATAAAATATTATTAATTACGGCTTAAATAAGAAATAATACATCTCGTACATGTTTAATTTAATTAATCATTGAATAAGTTTTGCGTATTTTCTTATAAATTTCTATAAAACATTTAATTTATAAACTTACCAACGGCAAATAAATATGGAAAATTTTAACTTACTTTCTATTTCCAAAGCGTTGGTAATTTTGATATCCAATTCGTTTGAAAACCAAGAAAAAGACTCGTGTGAGGAGGAATATGAAATAGCCGAAATTTTATTGGATAAATTGTCTGAAATTGCTAACGACTATAAATTTGTTGAAGAGGAATAATTTAAAGAAGGTAATGTGGATGCATAATTTTGCGTAATAGGAATATATTAGGAATCAATTAAATTAAACATGTACGAGATGGATTATTTCTTATTTAAGCCGTAATTAATATTTTATTTTGGTTTTTTCGCATCACTGCCTATGCTTGTGTATGAATATTTTTGTGGGAGTGTGAAACCCTAGTAAATTTAATGCGAGCGGAAGAGAATGGAGTTGAGTTTTCTTCCT